GGTAACAGGAGGACGAGCTAGGGACGTCCTCAGGCTCGCCCTCGACGTCCTGAGGACATTATTGTGAACGCCTCAGAAGGGCCTCAAAAGGTATTCGTGCTATCTGGGAGATGTAATTGGAACATGCCTGTTCTGGAATGCATTCGAAATCTTTCTACCATCTGGACTGAAAGGGTCAATACAATAATACCAACCTGAAAACCATGCAAATCAGTCGGGAAATCAGTGCAGGCATGATCTAATTACTTCTGTAAATTTAAAATTGCATTTTTCGGAAACTGCTTAGCAAATGATAAAAAATCAGGGTATAGTTGAAAAAGGAATTGAACGCCCTTCAAAATGATGTGCATCTTGATCTCCCTTTTCAAATGAGGTTCAAAGGGTAACATCTACCGTTCCTAGGTGGTTGAACTCGCAGCTTTGATAACAATGTCATTCACGAAATTACTCGGCAACAAGCTGTCGTAACAATCACCGAATATTTCCGGCAAAATATTATCACTTGTGGTATTATTCAATCAATCAATCAATCATGCTTTATTGTCCAAGAAGTAATTCTTATTGACAAAGTGAGTGTAATTTTATGGAGTCAGAAATATTAAAAATATAAAATTATATGAAATATAATGAACAATCATTATAGAGTTAAAACTTGTGTACCTAAACGAATATAAATAAAACATTACAGAAAATATATCATCCAGATAAGTGAGCAACGGAAGTATTAAGCTTTAAAATTCATCAGTGTGATATTCCTTCAAGTCATAGTAGGCTTTTTGCAGAAATACCCTCGGAAATACCTCTAACTGATTTCCTGAACTTTTTTAAATTCATTATTTCCCTGTAGTACATTTGGGGGTGGTTATATATTTTCTTGCTCTCATATATCAAAGGAAATTTTGTGATTGCTAATTTTGGTATTGGCAGGGGTAGATCCCGACTTCCTTTATTTCCTGTATTTGAATACTTTTTGTGTATTAGACACACTATTTCCAAAAGGAACATACAAGGTAAAGTTAGAATTTTTTGACTGATGAAAAGTGGTTCGCAGTAATCTTGTGATTTTGCCTTACAAATGTATCTGACAGCCCTTTTTTGCAAAACGAATACTGAATTTAGTAGTTGCTGACTACATAAACCCCAAAAGGCAATTCCATATCTCAAATGGGACTTGATCAAGGAAAAGTACACAATTCTGGCTGAGGATTGATTGAGTTCATTTAAAACAACTCGAACTGCATAACAGCCAGATGCTATTTTTTGCATGAGTTTTCTACATGCTCATGAAATTTTAATTTTTCATCTATACATTACCCTGAAAACTTTGTGTGAGTTTTGTGCACTACAGCGTGATTTTCTATAAGTAAGTCGTCGAAACTGAACTTAGAGCAGACTATGTTTGTTTTATTTGTGTTGAAAGATGAGGAGTTTGAATCACACCACTGTTTAATTTTATAGAGATCGAAAGTCATGTATTTTCTGAGATTATCTTCATTTGTCCCACACCAAAGGATGGTGGTATCGTCTTCATAAAATGTGAACTTCCCTTCGATGTCAACGGTTACCAGATCATTCAGATAAAGCAGAAAAAGAATAGGACCGAAAACCAAGCCTTGTGGTACACCTGTTGTGTTATTCTCCATGTGCCATTCATTTCCTTGGGGTTTTACTTGTTTCCTGTCTGTTAGATAGCTGGAAATCCAGTTATATGACGATCCTATGAAGCCATAGCACTATAGTTTATGGTATTATATATGATAACTCCTGAGAAATGCCTATTGGCCAACTCAACGCCAATATTGGCGAAGCAGTACTTCCAATTATTGCTTGTTCATTGTTGGCCCAGTGATGACTGACTGACGTATTTTCAGTGCATTTCCAATAAAAATCGAGTACTTCTTTTTCGACACAGATAAATATGAGGTCACTCATAGAGAATATCATTCAACGAATATTAAAAATAATGATAATAATAAATACTACAATCCGTATTCAGCTATATATCCACATCTGATCTGGTCAATCAGCCACGAGTTTATGAAGTATGTTTCTGTTGATTGCTATTGTGATTTCTGTAATACCTGGAACATTATTGCCAATACTTGGGAATTTCTTTTCTTTGGTATCCGGTATAAACTATTTGTGAATTCCAAGTAAGCTATAAATCGTAATACCATTTTGCTACAACAAAAGTCAGTTGGAAACAAAGATTCAAGTCTGAGTTTAGAGTAAATTCCTTATAGGACTGAAACTTCATGGTAGAGGTACTATAACATATCACGATGGATATTCTCGAACAATGATATTAGTTCACATTCAACTGAATTTGTCATTTTGACTTGATACTCATATAACTTTTCATTAATTCGCTTGGTCAATACACATCTCACAGTAACAAATGACGTTTCATGCGCAGAAAAAAACACATCAATTGTCGATTGTCGAAAGAATGCTGTCAATAAAATGCATCTGATAGGCTGATGGTCCATTGTCATTTCAATGATGACTTAATGACATTGAAAAACCTATATCCTTTATTCATCGTTCAACCAGTAGTGTTTCAGTGATTTTTGTAAAATGGATTATACCCATTGAATCACCAATGCCGTCATAATAGTGTAATCCTGATCCATAGGAAATACACTATTGTACCAGTAATGGACATTCACTTTTTCATCACCGGAACATAGTGCCAGCCAAAATGTTTTCTTCTCCCACCAGTGACATGGCAAAATTTTAATCCCACCCGATAATTTTTTTCTTTCAGTGAATTATATCAAGAATCGAATAGACACGTCAATTCCTATTCCGAAGAAGACACTTGAAATGCATATTTTTCGCTCTCTTATAGTTCAACCCCCTAGGAAGGGTAGATGATTCCCTAAGAACCTAATATAAAAAGGGAGGTCAAGATGCACATCATTTTGAAGGGCATTCAAGTCTTCATTCAACTATACCCTAGTTTTTTTTTGAAGAACACTTTCCAGAAAATGCCGTTCTGACATTACAGAAGTAATTAGAACATGCTTGCACTGATATCTCGACTGATATGCATGCACGGAAAAAAAGGATTTGTTGCATCAACAAATTATTTATGCTCAAATTATTTTTGTTGGACTAAGCAATTTTTTGTTGAATCAACCAGATACATGATTATTTCATGGAAGCAGCTTGTTCAAATCAAGAATGTAGTCTAATTGAATCAACAGTATAATATCAATTCCATCAACAAAATATATTGTTTCATCAAAAACAAATTATGTTGATCCAAAAGAATGTCGATGTTGATTCAATTATAAACATTTTGTTGATTTGATCAAATAATGATCATTTTGATAGGAATATATCTTTGGAACAACATACAAGTTTTCTTATTCCGATGTAGCAATGAACTTGTTTCGAACGGATCATTTGCTTGAATAGAGCAACGAAATATGTAATATCAATCAATATTCTGTTCATTCTACATCAACTTAAATTTTCGCCTCTAGATGGCGATCATTTCGCCTCGTCTATATATGCCTGCCTCGAATTCATTATATACGTGGAGCCTGATTCTTCGTGTTTGAAATATCAACTAGACAAATCGAACTTTGCATGATTAGCAATCCTAAATAGTTTTCCATCAGCTGAAGAGAAGTAAAGACTGATGATCTATGCTAGGAGTCGACTTGTTTCCTAGTTTTGTTTATTCTATTGATGTGGAATTCCAGAAAATTCCCGAATATTGAATTTGGTTCAACAAAACAATTTGTCGAATGGATATATAGTTTCTCTTGAATCAACAAAATATTTCATTGAATTAACAAAATATTTTATTGAATCAAACAAATATTTCATTGAATCAACCAAATATTTCGTTGAATCAACTAAATATTTGATTGAAGCAATATCTTATTAATTTCAATGAAACAAAATGATTGTTTGAGCCAATTCAATATCTCTTCAAAACCATTCATGGATGTGCTTGATTGAAGAAGATCCAGAGTTCATGCAAGACATATTTACTTGATTCAAACTTCAAATTCGCTCTGAAACAAGATATAGATTTACTCATTTCAAGATTATATTTTGTCGTGCATATATGACACTTTTATTTGCTCCATTCAATTAAATTTTGCTTGATTCAACAATTCCTTTTTTTCCGTGTGGTTTTCAAGTTGGTATTATTGATGTATTGACCTTTTCAGTCCGAATGGTAGAAAGATTTTGAATGCAGTTCAGTGCAGGCATGTTCCATTTACTTCTGTAAGGTTAAAACGGCGATTTTTGGAAACTTCTCATCAAAAATTCAGAAACTAGTGTACTGTTGGGAAGATAATTGAACGCCTTTCAGAATGATGTGCAACTTGACCTTCCTCTCCATTTGGGATTCTAAATGTTACATCTACCCCTCCTAGAGGGTTGACCAAGAAAGCTAATAATATGCATTAGAATTGTCCCTCTTGACATTCGAATGGATTAATCTTTTCGATTTTTCATTTTATTTACTGAAAGGCAGATATTGAGGGTGGGAAGTTTTCGAAATGTCACCCTGTATATACAAAGAGCCACATCCTTGACACAGGTGTCCACAAATTATTGTCTGATCTGGCCCAAATAAGCGAACAAATATGTTCCCGAAATGCTAGGTCTGCCATTTGAAAATTTAGGCACGGTTTCCCTGACAGTAAAGAGGTTTTGAATGAAATGTAACAACGAATTCCTCAGAAGTTGTTCCTAATGTCATCAGTCGTAGAAATATTGAGTGCTGCTCGTTCTTCAAATTTTCACCCTGTATAGAAAGATGTACAACTGAAAAACTATGGATTCTTCAAGATGATCAAGATGATAATATAGAATAATCAATATGTTGATGCCCCTGTAGATCGCTATTATCGCTGACCACATCAAAAAAACTCACGCTGATCGATGCGTTACTGAAAGAAACAAATCCGACGGCATTTTTTGCTACTTCTTATTCTACTTTTCAAAAGAAGTGAACGGTATAATATACAGAAATGACTAAGTGCTGCGAGTTAGTTTTGGATCCTGTTCTTCCTCCTCCTAAGAAAAAAATAAGGTATCTAGTTGTGATGTTTTTTTTATGTAAGACGGTGATAACGTCAGGCCCATCCTAAGATTTTTTGGGTCCCAAGGCACATTGATTTGTAGGGTTCTAATATTTCTTTTGTATAGAAATAAACATTTTTCATTTATTGATACAAATATAATCTCGCATATTAAATGAAAATGAATTTATTTCATTTCAATTTGCAATTGAATATTCTGTTTGAAAGGAGTCAAACTATAAACATAAACAAATACGCAGATACTCAAAGGAATGGAAGCTAAATACTCTAAACATGTTCTCATGACTTAATTTCAGCAAAAGCGTTTATGATAGTTCTTCGGAATCGTCATTTTTTGTAATTCTATCCTCAATAGAAAGAAGTGCCACAGAATTTAGTCTCTATTGTCCTATGATCGAACGAAAGTGAATGATTTTTTCGTCCACATCTACAAATAATGATATTTCACGTTCTAATTTCCGAACGATAAACCGACTATTTCCGAAGGCAAGTACTTGTCGTCCGCAAACACTTTTCGTCCGCTGCAGATCTCAGATCTCCTGATGTACATACATATTGTTCTACTGATCTACTGATCCACTGAAACATTTCATAACCTACCGAAAACTATTTTGCTACTCATTTATCATTATAATTACCTACCCATATTGTTATCATTTCCGCACGCTCTGTTAACATTAATTTTACAGAATGAGTATTAACTATACATGAAGGAACTGATGATACTTATAAACCAGAAAAAGACGATACTTCATCTGATTCGAATCGAATTCAATTTTATATATACCTATGTTATAACAGTTTGTTTCTCACGTTTGATATTTTTGTTGTTTCGTATTTTTTTCGTTCATTTTTACACTTCGTTTTTCTTTCTATTTTTTATATTGTCAAATTTTATAAGTGTAACTGTAATTTGTGATATTTGTGAGTATTTTCAAATTGAGAATTAGGAACAGCAGAGTTTGTGTTTCACGGTTTTGGTTACGTTGTGACGAATGCGGCAATTGCAAGGCAATGAATGAATGATATTGAGCTCATTGGTTCAAGGCTCCGTTTGAGCCATTTTTTTAGTAATACTTCAGAGGGCCATGCTTTCGCTCTCGTATGCTAAGAATCAGTAATTGTTGATGACCTTTTTTGTTCACGTTGACCTGGAATTGCTGAACGCGGCTTTGCGACTTTCTTTCTTCTTCCTGAGTTCTTCGATTAGAGAATTGCTTGTTCTCGAAACAGTCTCAGGTGCATAGATTGATCAACTGCCTCATGCCCTCCCAGATAGCACAAGTACATCTCATGAATATTCTATGGATATTCATCATGGATATAGTGGATGTCCATAAGATATTCGAAAAAGGCTCTGGTATATCCTATGGACGTCCATAGGATGTGACAGTGTGACCTTTCTGGATGTCTTAAAGATATTTATTATGGATATCCATAAGATATCAACTATGGATATGGATAAGAGATAGTATATTTTTTATGCCATATTTCATCAGTTTTAATTAATCATTTTGATACAACATTATTCAGGTCATCAGCCTGAGAGACTCGAACCTCGCCAACTCGAATTCGAAGTGGCATTTGCCTTTAAATTTGATCTGTTTCAAGTTGCATTTCGGATTGGTAGTGTAATAATTTTTTTCCGTGTTTCTTGGATTTCTAGTGAAGGTTATTTTTGTCACAAGCTCTCTCAAGTTGAACATAATAATTCTGTGGTTGGAAAGACAGGGATCGTCTGAGACCCTCCAGTTCCTTACCATTCTACTAATGCTCGGGGCGCCAAGAGGTGATTCTTATACTTCTTGTCTAACCATAGGTATGAAGGTAAGGGTGCACTCTACATTGAGTACGTTCAAATTATCCACGAGTATGAATTCTAGCAGTTGCTCACCTCTTTGATTGGTTTTAGTGCTGCCTCAGATGATGTTGTGAGCGTTGGCGTCACAGCCCAGTCCATGAACTGAGGTAAGTCGAACAGATAGTTCGTCGAGGAACTTTTTATGACGGGAAATTATATAAACATTGATAAGTTCCGCATTTCACTCTGATGAGAATAATATTTTGGAGAGGAATCTGACATTGTAGTAAAATCTTCAGGATGGGTTATCGCAATACCCCTTATCCCTATACAAAATTGAGGGATGGTTCTCGCTGGTAGGGGGTTGAAGTCACAATGAAGAAGAAAACAGACAAATCGTTCTCCCAAGAATCCGAAATTAACGGATCCGAGCGTTGTTTCGGATTTTTTGTCGATTCTTTCGAAAATTGGTATCTGGAAGATTTTGGGGTCGGAGGTTATGATGCTTTCGTCAAAATTGAGAAATACAAGATGTAAACGAAAATTAGACTATGGGTATTGTCGGGGTAAGGGATTATGATTCTTGAGTACCTACAAAAAAAATAAGAACACTAAAAAACACGCTTTCGTAGTTTGGAGAACTAAAGAATAGGATATAAATATTACTTCAAGAAACTAAAGAAACCCTCCTCTCATAGATGAATAACTAAAATGAAGTAGAGAATGTAATAATAAAAGTGTGCTGATGAAAACACATTATAGAATGTACTGATTACGGAGATGCTAATATTTTCTATCTTGTGTCTATTCACCAACTCATTTTCATTATTCAATTTCCTACTTCTTTTTGGTTTGGTTCTCAATGGAAGGGTGATTCTTTAGTCTTTCAAAATACTATCTATCCATTTGTGTAGCCTATGCACTGAGGAAAATTGTGGTATTAAAGTTTTTGCTGGGATATTTCTTGCTATCAGTACAATACATCATATAACCGTTATACATTTTCGAATAGAAGCAGCACCTTGGAATCCTATGATAGCAAAACTCATTGTGAGCAAAAATGTCCAGGTTATGAAATTATCTGAATTATTTTTTTGGTAACATTTTGTTTTTCTGTACGCATCTATTGTAACTTGTCTAGTTTTCGAAATACAATGGTTTCAGAAAGTTTCAGAAATTTTTTTTTTCATCAATCACACAAAAACCTTTTTTTTTTTTTGAGGGTGCATGAATCAATTGATCTATTGAATTTCAAAGACCATTGGTCCGGAATTTTCGTCAGGTATCAATGAAGTGCTATTCATACCAAACATCAGGGGCCTTATTTATGAATCGAGAGAACGATTCCCCCGTGGCAATGCTTGGTATAAAATCATTACAATTTCACTTTCCACTGCTTCCTTTGGTGGATTATGAGAGAAGATGGAACAGAGTACCTGTTTCTCTTGCTATCTATCGAGAGAAACAGCGGGGAACGGAATAATTCGTTACTTAAGTGAGGGACACGCCACTGTTCTCTCGGCAAACTAGTTCACTTGATTCAAAATTGAGGCTCCAGGGTGGAAATGTGGAAAGTGAAATTGAATATCAGTCAAAATTTTCCTCTTTCCTCATGACAACAATCCTGGAAAATAAATGAATAACTACAGTAAAAAATTCATGCAACTATCTAGCAAAATTTCCTACCTAGGATTATAACATTGCCCTACTCCCATTGTCAGATGCACTCACTAGTGGTAGCAGAGTCAGATACCTATTACAAGAACATCGTTTAATAGCAAAATACAGATGCACTCGCTAGTGGCAGTAAGGTTCTATCTCTAATAGTCGCAGAGGTGGGTTATAACCAGCAAAGTCGACTTTATAATCACAGGCGGTAACTCGCTTGTTCCCTATGCTATTAGAGTTTCTTGCTGGGGTAATTCGATTCCTGACTATGGTTAATAGGAATTTTTCTCAAAGTGGGAGTAATTTGATTGTAAGGATTTTATGGTGCAATTCCTTTATTCGTGCCTTTGCCAATGTATCGCTTGGTTCAAAATTGTGTTTTTCTTCTTCTGCAGGTCGCTGCCCAAACTAAGCAGCCAGGACGAGGACGGGCACACCCCCCACACCCAATTCAGTGGTGTGGCCCATTTCGAGCCGATCCCGCATGACCACGACTTTTGCGAGAGGGTAGTCATCAACGTAAGTAATTTCTTGAATCAAATCATAAGAAGACTATAGCAGACCTCATAAACGTTATTTTTTTATCTACATTATTTCTATATATCAACGACTAGAAATTTTGGCACGATAATACACTCCACTGTTTTACCACTTACCAAACCGATTTCTTAAACTCGACACGTGTTTCGCTAACTATGTTAGCATCATCAGGAGAAGATTGAAACTTCAGTTTAACCCTTTGAATACTCGATGGTTTAACATAGTTAGCGAAACACGTGTCGAGGCGTTTAAAAAAGCGTGTTACTTCAGTTTTTGGCACTACCATTTATTTCAAATACTTCTTAGTTCACTTGAATTTTTCAATTTCGACGGAAGAATCATAATATCCTACTCCTCGAACCCCAGATGAAGATTTCGAATGGAATCGGAACATAATTACAACACTTGTCCGCAATATTGAATCTATACTATCTTGAAATCCCTAATTTTGACGAAGGAAGCATCCCAGATAACAGTTTTGGATGGAGTCGGATCATAATCACAATACTCGTCCGTCATATTGGGTCCGCCATCATGAATTTCTCAATTTTGACGAAGGAATCATGATCCCCGATCATAATAACCCCTAGGTAGGTACCAATTTTGAAAAGAATCGGATTTTAACCCTAATAGCACACAACGCCCTATGGAAGTCCCTATTTGGTACAATACACGTTCGAATGTCCCAATCCACAAATAAGTGTCCTAGGGACGTATCATCCCGTACATCTCATGCAATGTCTGAGCAAGGACGTCCACAGAATGTTCCAGCAGGTACATCATTTCAAATGTCCTAGAAATAGCATCCCTTAGACGTCCCACGTGGTACATATTGTAGAATGTCCATTCCTGATGGAATATGATTTCAAACGTTCCTTCTGGGACATCCATCGGATGTCCCGAGTAGTACATATTCTGACATGACTTCAGATCTTATATAATGTTCCTTCTAGACAACCATGAAATGTCCCTGATGGTTCATTCCTTCATATATCTCTGCAAAGACGTCCTTAATATTTCCAGGATCGTATAACAACCGAAATGTCCCTTAGGGATATTCGTCGGATGTCTCAATTGGTACATGAACTGTACTCTTCCAATGTCCTAGATGTAATATCCTATGGACGTCCCAGTCCGTACTTTCAATATGTTGTCCCTGCGAGGACGTTTACTTACACCTCGCCGACGAATGATGCTCGTAGGCTATAAGTACTCCTCGTCAATGTCCTTCACGTAAGTCCATTGGGCATCCTTGAGAAACTTTTTGGGGACCTTCTACGGACCATCAACTCAACTAAATATCCTAATCAGTTATGCAAGATCTGGTCCTAAATGGACCCAAAAAAATTCAAATTCAAGAATTGTTCGTTCGTCCCTGGGACATCCAATGGACATCCAATTGATATCCCTCAGCTTTGCTGATAGGTTGTCCTATGGATGTCTTAAGGATGTCCTCTGTAGTGCTTGATGAAGAATACTATAGGATTCAGGTATTCGATAGTCGTCCCAGGGACATCCTTCAAGGACGTCCCTAGTTGGTCCTCAAGTGGGACAATTGTGCGTCCCACGGACGTTCAATGGACGTCCACGGTACCGAATTCGCTATGGACGTCCTGAATGTCCCGACAGGACGTCCTACGGATATTCATGGGACATTAGTGTGTTATTAGGAAATTACAAAACTCGTTCGCTATATTGGTTTCGCCATCTTGAATAATAATAATAATAATAATAATAATCGTCTTTATTTGTTCACCAAGAATTAAAATCAAAAATATAAACATATGTAATATATAAATATGTGGATATAAGTATATGCCAATCAGTGAACAAATGAGGTGAAGTTTAGCTAAAGCTATTCTACCACTTTACCTCAAACAAAAATAAACTAAATACTAAGACACTAAAAATTACAATTTTCCATTATTAGGATATAGTATAATATGCAATAATTTTGATATATATCTACAAAACAAAGTTCAGATTTTCTAATGCTTCATCGATGCCTAACTAATACATTTATCAATCAGCTTTTCCAACCAGCATGATGAAGCTCGACACTCAATCAATTTGTATGATTCTGCATATTCAATAAATATTTTTTAACTTTATGCTTGAATTGATTCATATTCAATATTTTCAGATGATCCGGGAGTTCATTGTATTGTTTCGGTGCACGGTAGCTGAAACTTTTTTGAAAGATTGCAGAACGATGTTTAGGAATGTCTAAAGTATGACGAGAACGAATGCTGATGTTATGAAGGTTTCGTCTATAACTAAGTTGTTTTCTTACATAACTGGGCTCAGATGTTACTAAGATTTTGTTAATAAATTGTAACAGATGTAATGACCTTCTATTATTCATGTTGAGCCAGCTGCCCGAATTTTCAAATTCTGACGAGAAAATTATAATCTCCGACCCCAAAAACCCCTAGATACCAATTTCGAATTGAATCGGACCATAATTACACACCTCGTCCGATATATTATATCCGCCATCTTGAATCTCCTAATGGTACCGGGATAAAAAGTATCCGATACCCTTCTCCTTTTCAACCATTTTTCAGCCAAATCGATCCAATAGTTTCGGAGCCTATTCAATACATACTAAAAACAAACAACCATTTAAATCATTCCTCTTTATGATATTAGTATAGATGAATAAACACAAAATGCTCCATGTCATTCCAACAAATCCTAATAAGATGAACAACAGTGATATAGATGACAAAAAAAAAGTACTTGCCTGGCTAATGCCACGCAGAACATTGAATTACATCCTTCCGAAGCATATGCATCGATACGTATAAACTAATACTAATGCTAGTGTTTCTTTCCATGATTTTGGTTGATTTCGATTTAGCAGGGTTAACGCTACGACACTCACATACTTGTTTCAAACTTTTTTGGTATCTCATCAGTGCAGGGTAGTATCCAGCCAGCAGTCCAAAGGTTGCCGGCTAAGGGTAACCTGGCCTAACAAATTCCAATCGACAATATATCGACGACTAGATCGTTTGGTACAATAATAAACTACGCAGCGTTCCACCAATGAAAAAACCGACACCTCGATACGTGTTTCACTAACCATGTTATCATCTTCAAGAGAAGATTCAAACTGAACGTTCTATCCTAGTGTGCTACCTATATGCTAGGTATATGTCCTTCCAACAATGAAAGACAATAACCGCCGTGTCAATGTTAGTCATGGTTGAGTTCACATGTTGACCTTGGTCTTATATCACTCAACTATACAGAGCGCTGAATTAATTACTCTATTACTATTCCTAAATATCTCTAAGCTTTCATATGCATCTAATCTCCTAATATCATAATAATAATAATAATGTTCATTGAAGTAGTATACTCATTATCTATAACAAATTCATTACGAAACAACGCATAGTCATACTACTACAGAGGGACAAATGGAGGTCAATGAAATTGCGTACCAATCTTCATTGTTTTTCTCCTTGTCAATGTCGACATAGGCGTTCTCGATTTCCTCTAGGTTTCAGTTGTAGCTGAGCATAATCTTCCTTATCCGTGCTGCCCTTTTCTCTAGCGTTTCTTGGGGGTGGGTGTAATGGGCCATCTCCCAAAGATTTGTAGCATTTGATGAATTTGCTACAAGATAATATTAGCTAATTATTTTGATGAAACTTATCAAATTACAGTAGAGTAGCACTGTGGTGTGCCAAGATTTGTTTTTATTTTTCTTTGGTGTAATAAACATAGTCTTCAAATTCTTACATTATGAATTTGAGAAGAAACCATACTCACAGTGAACATTCAGTCTGACATTATAGTAAATAATCCTTGAGTAGTAGAACATTTAATGAAACAACCATATCATATCACACACAGTTTTGAGATCTTTCAACAAACAAATTCCAATAGTAGAGTACTCATTTCTTCTGATATTCTATGTGCTAATAGGAGGTGATGATGTAAGCTGCAGGAGTCTTTGATTTCTGGCGTTCTGATCCTAAGGCCCTAGAATCGAAGAAAATATTTAATATTGTAATCCATTCAAAAGTAGACAGACAACTTACCGTTGATGTTCTCCAGGGCGATAAATCCTATTTCGCTGGAATATCTCAGGATTCATGATGTTGTTCATTCTGAATTGGTTTCAATTTGGATATAAATTTCTTTGTGTATTCTTGGGATAATATTTCAGGTTTATATTTTCATGTGTCATCAGAATGTCACTGTCACTGCTGTCATACTGCAGTCATTGTGGTCTGTCATTTGTCTTCTGTGAAGGATTTGGAGATTATTCCTATGAAGACAGAAGAAGAAGAACAATTTATCTTAATAATTAGGGCGTAAGCCTTTCTTCGACCAACAGGATTCTTGGATTTCATATTTTGGCGCTAATTTGGGATTTTAACAGGAAGTAGTAAGGGTTTTGACTAGTTAAGAACGAGGGCAAGAGAATTTCCGGCACGTAGCTGCCTCACTGTTTCTCGGTTAGCCATGGTGGCGTGCTCTTAACCTGTGGAAAAGTGATTTTGATTTTCTCGGTGAAAACCGTAGAAACCCTTAGGGGAATTTGAGTTTTGGGAAGCCGTTGCTTACCGGTCAGTGGATGGAATCTCCGTCAGGAAGCCATTATTGGGATTTGTTCCTGGAGACTGCCATGAAGTTTTAGAAGCCATGCAGCCCGGCCTGTTTCAGTCCTTAGAAGCAAGATCTAATAATTCTTCAATCCTACCTCCCTTCTCAGAAGGTGAGTCACAGCCATAGCAGATTCAGCAGTGAAATCTTCGAAAATATATACTGTTCTTCAGTTTTTTTTCTGTTGTCTCCACGTGCTTTGTGCCCCCTCAGGAGGCTATATTCAGTTCTTTCATAGGGTGCTAGGGTGCAGCTTAGCTGTGCTTCGGATTCCTGGTAGCGACCGGCCCTCAGGATACTCTACTCTACCCTTACCAAGATCCCCCAGTGGATTTGAGTAATCCTGCAAAGTCTTC